TCGCCGCATTGTCTGTATGATAACATGTTCTATTATATTTTCACGCATCAGTTTCAATTCACAGCAGAATTTGTTCTTTACGTCTAACTTCGCTCGTGATTTGCACTTCAAAATTATGTATTGAATTTCATTAATAGAGATCATTATCTGGTAGCGTTTGTGGTGAAAGCATCCAAGCACACACTACTAGCCAAATGTGCTTGTCTTAAGGAAAATGTGGTTTCTTTGCTTATCACTTTAATAAACGCTAGATTGCCAGGCTGCGAGTATTGTCTAGTTCAAAGATAAGTCTCGCAAAGTCTGGCGTGGAATGAGGATGTTGATAAAATGTGACAGAAAGGCGTGTATGGCGTTTCCTACCACTTACCTTAACGCGGATAATCTAGAACACATTAAGCAAAGTCAAACGCATATAAAAACGACATAGCTTGACTCATCCTGTTAAACAATACCATTTAAACATTAGCAGATTAAAGAGGCCAAAGGTCCGTTCGTTTTCAAAATTTACTCTGGGCATTTTATTCTTCAATCGGTTGACCATGTGATCTGACATCAGGAAATTACTTCATTTGCACAATTGCGTCTGCTATTTTACCGTTTACATCTACTAGTTATAAAAGAGCAGTCTAACAAATCATACCGTTGGCTACTTGAACTGCAGTGGTCTATAACATCAAAAATGCTTGTGGAGCTTATAAGAAAATAATATTACTCGCGGCAATCTCTTTTGTGTTTTACTGTACAGAAGTCTGCTCCGTAAAAAGAGGTAGGCTGCCTTTTTGTACGTGTGTTAAACCTACTGACCTCTAATAAATGTGGCGGATTGAAATGCGAAAAATACCTGAGATTTTATGTGTCCGTTTAGTTGCTATTACTTAACAAGGCGAATATATTCTTCTTATGAATGACCTGATGACTACAGAATGGATAAATCGTTGGCTTACAGAGAGCTTTCCGAAAAATTCTTTTCATAGTATAAGTACATTATTTCGGGACAGCTGAATTCGATGGACTCAACTCTGTTAAAAATTCAGATACAACAACCTTTCAAAATAATGCTATACCGACTGCACATTGTTTCTGAATGCTGCATTCATTTCGAAAATCATTGTATTTTGACCTTTTTCTTAAACTTTTCTGTAAAAAGCATTCGCACATTCTATTATTGGCACAGCCAACAAAGTGAATGAAAGCCGAAATTCAGATATTTTTCCTGAAAAAAACATTAGTTTACATAAATATTTTAAAACATTGTGTCGTTTCTGGCGAACGCATTAAGCCTTAAACAAAGGAACAATTTCGGAAGCCTACCACCGCATTTATACGAGAACGATCGCCTGATCTTCAATTGTCGTACAAACAACATTGGCTTGTTATGATCGTCAATTACGTATTTGCAAATGATTTCAAAGGTAATCCTAATGAAAAGAATAATAACATGGTAGCTTATGTTTCTTTTAGATACAACAAGATGCCCGAGTTCAAGCCATGACTAGCGTATCATTGATGTGCCAGCACACTCCACTCGGCAGGGTGATGACCGCCACTTTGAGAAATACTAGAAAATTAATATTGCTGTTTCTACCTTATAATTATAACCCATAATGAAACATTATCTTTCAAATGCATATTTCTACGGGATGAATAAACAGACAGACACTGGCAGTACGCATGTAGAGCCCTGATGTCTAACCCAAAAGTCTAGCTTAAGTTTTAGTTTATTTGGGGGAAACATAGGTGTTGAACCTTTGAACTCGCTATTTGTTATCAGGAAGCAAATTACTTCAAAAATTTAAAAATAGAAATATCAAACGGCTACAAAGTTTTTTTTTCAGTTTGGCAAATTTTTGAAACCAGAGGGATAAATAACTTATTCCAAGTGTTAAAAAGATTAACGTTAATAAACGAAGATCGACTACGCGCGCGGTGTGAATTTTGAGGAGCAAGAAGGACATTTTCAATCGAGTTCCTCACTGGAAACAGTTGGTCCGGCATCAGAAATTGGATTCTCAAACGCATTGTTGCCTACTACCCTCAACCTTGCTGTCATCGTTGCCCTTATCGTACGACTAGGACACTTTTGTGCAATTGCTGGCAATCTGAGCGTAACCAACACAGCCTTTAAATCCTTCATATCGTCTCGAATTGTCCAACGTACCTTGGGAACAGAACCTACTAAAGGCTGAGTCGATAATTTCTACAGTGCTTCTTGAGCTGCTAAGATTTGTACTCCTGGCATATTACCAAAAAGTCATAGTTAAAAAGACCTCCGGGCCTTGCATTCTTGAGATTCTCCGACAAACCCAACCATACACGCAGTTTTCTCTATTTGGCCCTAGGCGACGTTTATTTCTTCGATTCCTGTGGCCTGCTCCTTTTCCATAACTTCACGGCATGACTGAAGTACGCACTGACGTCCGCAAAATGGAGTCGGGGTGTGGAATCGATCCAGCGATCACCCCCTGCTTAGTCAAGTGCGCCAACCCCTACGCCACCGCAGCACGTCGGCGAGCGGTATCACATACTCTACTTGACTGTATGGACGCAGAAGATGCAGGCCAAAGCTGCAGTGGATGCCAGATTCTAGCCGCCAAGGTCAACTATCTTGAGGAAGAAATCACAAAGATAAAAGCCCAGTTGCGATGCAGTCTAGACCAAGCTAACGCTAGCACTTTGCTTACTGGACGAGTAACCAGAAGTAGGGCAAAAGCTCCCAGAATAATAGGCACGCCAGCACCAATTACAGCGGCCTCAGAAGGAATAGCTAAAAAGCGAGAAAATAACGACCAGAAAGGCAACCCAAAAACTGAAGAGAAAAAGAAATCAAACTGTAAAATGGCCGAGAAAAACGGACGGCTACTTCCGGAAGATGCCTCTTTAGCGGTCGAAGCAGAGACATTGACAGATGCTCCGCCCCTCATGACAAATACTCTGTGTTCAAACACCTTTGCAGACTCTCAGAAACAGTCCGAGCTTGATAGACCTAGTACGAGCGGTGGAATCGATTCATCCATCACAGCCACAGATTCCTCTCCGCAGTCTTCTCCGCCAAGTACTTCTTCCAAGATTGCCACCATAAGAGTCAAACAAACAGACGGCGTAAGCGCATCTGCTCCATCATCACCAGCGCGTAGTCCCCGAGCGTTACGTCATTTAGGGAACCACAATTCCGTAGAAAATAAAAAAGAGACCGACAGAGAACAATGTCTTATTATTCAGGGGCTCTCTGAATCAAGTGCAATTACTCCCAAGGAGCGAATTTCGGAAGACTTATCACTCTTCTAAAGTCTTCTCAATAATATTTTGGAACCCACGGAGGCTATTGAAGTGATCAAAGCCTTCCGCCTTGGAAAACGAGCAGATAATCCATCAATGTCCACTCGACCCCGGCCTCTTAAAGTTGTGCTGACCAGCAGCGACCAAGCCAGTCTCATTTACTCCAGGCGATTCAGGATTAAAGGCTCCAACCCCGGTGTTTTTTTTCAACCGGACTACTCGCCAGCCGAACGGCTCAAGCGGCGTCAGCTGGTTCTAGAACTAAGAAAGAGGCTCAGCGAGGGAGAGAACAATTTAGTAATATACAACAACCAAGTACGGCGGCGTTCGTCACTCTTCCTTTGGACAGGTCCTGTCCGAATGACCGCGCAGCCGACATATTAAGGGAAGGCGCTAACCCAAATGTAACCACATCTTCCGTCAGCCGGAAATTGAAATTCTTGTACACCAACGTACAGAGTTTGCTATCAAAGTTCGACGAGCTGAAGATCCACCTCTGCGACCTATCCCCTGACGTAATCTCTCTAACAGAAACCTGGTTGACCCAACAGGTGGACGACTGTGAGCTGGCCTTGCCTGGCTACCAGATGTTTAGAAGGGATAGGGAAGGGCGTCAGGGAGGAGGCGTACTAACGTATGTAAAAAATGGGCTAAATGTATCAGACAAGACCGATAACTTTTCGTGCAGTTCCGAGGCAATCTGGTTGTCTATTAAAGTGCCGAGCTCGCCTAGCCTCGATGTCCTGACAGTTTATCGACCGCCGAGACGGGACAACACGGCCGACGCTCGCCTGCTGGAGGAGCTCGAAAAGTTCGCTACGCGGCCGGATATCCTAATCATGGGCGATTTTAACGCGCCCCATATTGACTGGAGCTCAACCCATGCGAATAGCTCAGAACAGACCTTTGATAGGAGTTTTCTGAACACGGCATTGAAGTTATTTCTCACTCAACACGTCATGTTACCAACGAGAGTACGCGAAGGCCAACAAGCCAACTGCCTTGATCTTGTCCTTACGAAGTCACAGGACAGCATTGATGAGGTTTCATGCCTACCCCCCTTAGGTAAAAGTGACCACGTCGTTCTTTTATGGGATTACTTGATTTTTTCCATGCCCACGAAACCCAGGACAGTTATAAGAAACTTTTGGCGCGGAGATTTCGACCAAATGAGGGCTGAAATTTCACGCATTGAGTGGGAGTCCATATTTGTTGGGAGCATACTCGAAGACTGGCAACGGTTCCGAGAAATTCTGCACGAGCTGATCGTAAACCACTGTCCGCTTTCACGGAAGAGGTTAACTAACAGACCTCGATGGCTTACGCAAGCCTTGAAGAATGAAGTGAATAAAAAACGACGGCTGTGGAAAAAATTGCTTTCTGACAGGAGCGCCACAGCTATATGCGCGTACAAAATTCAAAGAAATCGAGTCAAGGGTCTTATCCTCAAAACCAGAAAGGAATTCGAACGGGATCTGCTTAACCGTGCCGCGGAGAACCCTAATTTATTCTACGGTTACATTAGGCAGTGCACGCGGAACAAGGACCCAATACCCCTGCTAAGGACTGCTGAAGGCGAACATCTCACTGTAGACAGGGCGAAAGCTGATCACCTTTCAGAATTTTTTCGGTCTGTTTTTATTAGCGAAACAGGATTCAACCGTGCGGCTCCTCAATCCTTCGAAGACACCCCAATTATAGAGACCGTCCAGTTCACTGAGTGTATGATTCTGACGGAGTTGCTGAGGCTAGAAGAATCCAAATCACCAGGTCCCGATGAGATTCCGGCGAAGATTTTGAAGGAACTCGCCGGTGAGTTTTCTAGGCCACTCTCAATGCTTTTCCATACATCCTTCGAGACCGGATATCTGCCACCCGACTGGAAGTCGGCGTGGATTACGCCGCTGTACAAGGGCGGAAGTCGGGTCTCTGCGAACAATTACAGACCGGTCAGCCTCACCTCCATTTGCTGTAAGATTATGAAGAAGATAATAAAGCAGCAACTAATGCAATTCCTTGAACAAAACCATTTGCATTCCGATTCTCAGCATGGATTCCGAAAAGGCAGATCCTGTGTGACAAACCTGCTCTACTGTCTGGAACACTGGACTAGGGCTGTTGATAGAGGAGATATGGTGCATGCCATCTATATCGACTTTAAAAAGGCCTTCGATAGTGTGCCTCACCACCGCTTTCTATACAAACTTAGCCGTGCAGGAGTGCGAGGTAAGCTTCTGATGTGGATTCGGAGCTTTTTAATCGGCCGCTCTCAAGCCGTCCACGTCGGTGACCAACAATCTGCCGAGGTTGGCGTTAAGAGTGGTGTTCCCCAAGGCTCTGTACTTGGCCCTACACTGTTCCTCGTATACGTCAATGACTGCACAAACGAACTGATTTGCGATGTCGCAATGTTTGCCGATGACATAAAGATCTGGATTACCATACGAAGCGAAGTTGACGAGGCGCGACTGCAGACAGACCGCGACCACCTCGAGCAATGGTCGAAAGACTGGCTTCTACCGTTCAACGTAAACAAGTGTACTTTCCTACGCGTCGGCAGAACCAGTTCTCCTAACCACACGGTCTACCGTCTGACTGGCAAACCACTGCAAGAAGTCGACGCCCAGAAGGACTTGAGTGTATGGATCACAACCTCGCTTAAGCCTTCGCAGCAATGTTCAAAGGTGGCCAAGTCGGCGATGTCCATGCTATACCTTGTCAAACGGGCGTTCTCCTCCTTTGATGAAGACTGCTTCGCCAAGGTCTTTCAAACTTTTGTGCGACCGCATCTGGAGTTTGCTATCCAAGCATTGCGACCCTGGACCGCTAAAGACTTGGACATACTCGAAAAAGTTCAACGGCGAGCAACGAAACTTGTATCAGGGCAGTGATCACTACCCTACGAAACGCGATTAGCTAATCTTGACCTCTTTCCTTTGAGTTACAGACAGCTACGTGGGGACCTGATAAAAGCTTTCCGCATCGTGCGCAATCAGGGCTGCTGCCTCGCGTTTGGAGACTTCGAGTTGGCGACTACGATTAACCTGAGAGGCCATCCACTCAAACTGCGTGTGGCTGGTGTCCGGCTAGACACCCGAAAGTTCTTCTTCACCAACAGAGTGGTTGCAGCTTGGAATGCCTTGCCTGAGGATGTTGTTATGTCAGGCTCGGTAGATACTTTTAAATGGAGACTAGATCAGCATTGTAGCGCGCACCACAATAACGCCGGACTACGCCACCTCGACAGCCAACGCGGACAATTTAGTGTTATAACGATTCTACTACCAACAATTAAGTAAGATATGTTTATGTTATTTAGTAAGCTTGGGCCACCTCACACACCGCTGTTCGCATTCACCACGATGCCTGTAGACTAAACAATTTTACTTCTTTTCCCGTGTCTTAAGTGTGCCTCAACTGTCCGCTGTATTTTGACCAACAAAGCAAGTTAATGTGCCTCTAAACTCTGTTAACGCATGACATTCTGTGTTCATCTGTACAGTTTTTGCTATTCCCCTCGCATTTCTTTCATGTTACTTCCTTTCCATTTCCTCCATATATATCCTCTGCATGTAACCAATAGGGATTTCAAAGGTACACACCTACTTTCCCTGAAATATACTGATACTGATACTGTAGTCTGTCTATAGATAGTTGGTCCTTTGTCAGTTTCCCAGACAGACGAATTGAATGCCAACACTCACAATCTACGAACCTGGCATACTAATACAAAACGTGCATTACTGAAATGCAGGCATTAATATGGTAACATTAATAAAATGCTCAAACAAAAAGCCAAGCCGATGTCGGTCAGGTGACATTCTGACGTTCGGTGGTACACTGGTCAAACTTGCGCTTAAAAGCCTCGACGGAGATGGACATGACGATATTTGCAGGCAGAGTATTCCAAGTCTCCATCACTCTGCACTAAAAGAAGAACTTATGAATGTCCAGCCTGGCGCCAGTCACATGTAGTTTATGTGGATTACCTCGGAGGTGCGTTGTGGTTGCTAACTCAGAGAAGTAAGCTGGTAAGAGACAGCAGTCCTGGCCGCGCATTATACGGAATGCTTGTATGAGGTCGCCGCCTAGCTGTGTGGAACTTAGTGGAACAAGTCCGAGATTGGATAATCGTGTTTCCTATGGTAGTGAGCCCAGCCAACTAACGAGTTTGGTTGTCCGCAATTGAATTTTCTCAAGGAAACTGAGGTCATTATAGTTCCAGGGCTTCCAGGCCTGCATAGTGAACTCTAGCTGTGGCCGAATAATTGTGCGAAAGACCTCATCGAAGCAGTCCTCATCGAAGGTAGAGAAAGCTCTCTTGACAGGATAAAGGACTGACGTCGCGGACTTGGCTACCTTGGAGCAGTGAAGTGACGGTTTCAGAGAAGCCGCTACCCACACAACTAAGTCAATCTAGGCGTCTAACTCCATTTTGTTGGTAAACCCTTCGGCTCAGAGATCGGGTCTTGCTGACTATCAAAACATTGTACTTAGTCCCATTAAACGGCTGAAGCCCATCCTGTGACCATTTCTCGTGTCGGGTCAGGTCTGCCTGCAAGTACTCTTCGTCAAATTTAGTTTGGACGACGCACCAAATTTTAACATCATCAGCGAACATAGCAACATTATAATTCAGTTCATTGATGCAGTCGTTGACGTACATAATGAATAGGCTAGGGCCAGGGACGGAGTCTCAAGGAACACCGCTTTCAACGGCTACTTCCGTGGACTGCCTAACAGCGACGTGGACGATTTGAGGGCGACCAATCAAGAATCTTTGGACCCACGTCAGAAGATTTCCACCATTGTCTGTTCGGCTTAATTTGTGCAGGAGACGATGATGTGGTACACTGTTGAATGCTTTGTTTAAGTCGACGTAGACTGCGTGCACTTAATTGCCGCCATCGACTGTCAGAGTTCAGCGATCTAAAGAATAAAGTAGGTTTGCCACGCACGATCTGCCTCTACGAAATCCTTGCTGGGCAACACATAGCAGATACGATGGAGATGGATGCATAATTGTCCAAGTATAAGCAGTATGCTTGTATCGCCATTTCTACTACTTATCCTCTTACACCATGCAAACTTAACAATCAACATAACATGCAATGAAAGAAGGCAATAATTCCACGCTATAGCGCCGGATTTTCTACGTTCATGTTAGACAGTTTGGCTCTGAATGCAGCTGTCCATTTTACATGCTGGAAAGAGGATAACCTGACCTCTTTTAGTTTCTGCAATGCATGCATGTATGTTTCGGCAGCTAATATGGAGCCATTAAGAACTTTTAATTAAAAATGCTATGTATGCATGCCAGTGACTTCAACGTCTTTCTGTGGCAAGCCATGTAACGTTCGGCGAGAGAAATGTATAAGCGGCCCGGGGCAATGCCATTTACTTGACGCTGGGTTGTCCAGATTAAAAAGAAAGTGTCTCTTAATTCGACCTATTTGGATTCTACGTATTTCTGTCCGGAGTCATACTCTAACGCCAAAATCAGTGACTTAATTTTAGTATTAACGCGCAAATACATATACATATGAGTATGTGCTTTCAATTCCCAATGATGTTTTTAACGAGGCATAGGGGTATACTCCAAAATGCAAACATACTTCTGATTATATACGCTATGCTAAATCTGAAAAGAATGTCTCGTTTGCAGCAAAATGCGACTAAACAGAAAGTCATCAGTTGTATAGTTTGAACGAAATTAAATTTTTATAAAATTTAACGCATGACACATATCACTGGTATGTACTATTACAAAATCAATTACCCGGTTTGTACAAGCTTGAATCCTGGCCCATCACTCAAAAACTCAGCGTAGGACATGAGATCAGAGCTGATTACACTGTAGATTTCATATACTGCAACCGGCACCTTCAAAAATCCTTAACGAGTGCCACACTTAGCTTGATTATAATCATTACAAAGTTAGTTCTTGAACCCCGCCGCGATGACCAACCGATAATGTGTAAAGTATCAAATATTTCATTTAAAGACGTTGTAAGGTAGCTAGCGCACGCTTCGACATTCGATTCTTTATGGGATTCAAAGATGGACAGCGGTATAAAAAGGACCACACTTAGCTGTCCGCAGACTGCGGATCGTGACATTTGGAGTTTTCATGTTGACACAACTGTAAAACTCTGCGCCTCGGTGGGATTCGAACCCAAACAGTTAGGGGGAAACCATTGCTACAGCCACCGTTCTAACCACTTGAGCTACTAGGCCCCACCGAACGACGCGATGTGAATCACATTTGGGTCAAGTTACCCGCCCGCGTCTTCCGACGGGCCCTCGTAGCTCAAGTGGTTAAAACTTTGACGGTACTAAAGCCCTGCCCTCACTGCGTGCGTTCGCCTCACGCGGAGGCGCCGAGTTTTTCCCAGATGGATCAATATGACTTATTCAAAATCTGCCAAAATATATACGAATAGGGGTTTGTTCTTGGCAAACCTTTGCAGGCTGTTCCAGAATTTACACTGCCAGCAAATATTACTTCCCACGAACACACACGTTAATTTGAAATGCGTTATTTTGAGTGATTTAATCTTTGTTTGTTGCTTACTTGCTGCTCGTATGTCCGTTTTCGTACAAGAGCGTAACACAAGACTTTCGACACAAAGCCAGGCAATTCCTGTGTTTTCATCCATTTTGTCAGCTTACTGCCTTGCATGCTGATCCACCAATAACGGAACCATAGACACGTGGCACGACCCACTCTCTACTGATAGTAAATTGGGGTACTTCTCTGAACGTTTGCTAATATATCGTTGGTGTAAACAGTTAAATTCTATAGATCGCAGTTTCCCTGGCATGAATAACATTTGCTTAGGGTTTTGGATAGATTGCTCACATGATTCCTATTCTGCTTTTGCCCATGTCACTGATGAGTAATAAATGATTTGGGTAGATAAGTATTGGGCCAGGTAACCTATTGTCATTTTAAGTCAGTTAAATGTATATGCGGCCTCAAGCGATGTCAGTCGTTGAACGCTGGGAAGTTCAGATCGAAATGAAACGTCTTCCCTGCATGAATTGCTGTTTGGTGTACCACTTTTTGTATGCTGTAGATTGTTATAGTTCCCAAGTTACAGTTAGATCTGACGCAGTACATACTGCCCCCGGCTGGAATTGGACACTTCCGCTATAATACGTAACAGCTGGGGCGGTTCACATGTCATTTGTTAAGTTTTGTTGAGGGTTGCTAATCGCTACATCAGTTATTACCTTCAGCATTATTAGATTGAGCAACTTCGAATTTCGTAAACAGTCCTAGCGGACGATCAAAATTTCCAACCGGCTATGAGACGAGGACAATTTTTTACTCGTACACGAGCCTTGAACACTGCCATTTTAAGTTTGTCAAAATTCCTATGAAATATTTCAGATGAGCATTTGTCGAGCTCATGCGTGCTTTCGAAAAATTTTCATCAGACATCAACACTTATACGGATACGATGTACATACTTCAGGCATGAATGAGAAGGACAATCGATTAGGGTTTGTCTATTTATAAACACGATACATATGAACAAAGTAGGTTGTAGGGGAGGGGAGGGGAGGAGGAGGTTAGCAACAGTGAGGGTTAGTGTATTCATAAACGGAAATCGCCGAATCCATACCTTGACGCGGTTTTATTCGTTTGGTCGGTAGCCAATATTCCATAAATATAAATGTTCTTGAGTGATGATTAACTTTACTACACAAGTGCAATTACATTCGAACTCCACACTCGGTGCTGAGGCATAGTGTGGCCTAAGGAATTAATCATTTGTGGATCGAGCAGTCTGGTGAGCCAGATAGTCGAGAAATCATCACCCAGCATTCAACACAGAATTTCGACAGTAAGCACACCCGCGAGAAATAATTCTCGATGAAGATG